GATTAAAACCATATAAATAAAGATTGTAGTAACCTCGAGATCATTGGATTATAAAAAATCTTCACACATAGAAAAGGGATACGATAAACTTTTAAAGGAGCTTTTAATAGTCTAACCAATTGCTTCCTCCCTTAGATCTTCTCTCTTGTTCTCCAGTAGGTCTATTTCCTTTTCAAGAAAGTAAAAAGTGGATAATCCTAATTCTCATATAAAATATGTCAATAAAGTGCATATTTATAATGTCCTATTAAGGTTTGGTAATTGCACAAATTTCCCTGGACTTTATTGTAGTAGACCAATTAAGTCATACACCTTTTACCGGAGCTAAGAGAGGGACCTAATCGGACTCACATGACCCAAGCTCCAATAGATGTTTCTAATTGGGTCAACTCTTGACCAATTGAGATACATCTATTAATCCCGGCTTATTCTACCAAAAAATCGAGATTGCACTCTCGAGTCGAGTAATAGTTATAGAAGCAAATTATGATCTAATAACAATATCCTCTGATTATTGTTCCACAAGTCAACCCCCATTCGACCGTCAATATGTTAAACTGGCAAAATGACCTTTTGGCCTTTCAATATGTATTACCCTCTAAGTACCATTTTCATACGGTAAATTCGTGGTGATCAAATCACAATGTAAAGTCCAACGATCTCATCGTCGACCTACTGAGCTCAAACTCAATTTGCCCAGGAAAATACCTTAAAGTGACGATTGTCTCATCTCAATGATTAATGGATTCTACTATTGTAAGTATATAATCTCTAATTGTTTTGGCCTGATTCCCAAAACACCAAGATTTGACACACCTAGTCCCGTGTAACACCACTAGATCCGGGCATGGCATGTGTCGATAATAGATACCAACTAAAAGTCGGATCCACCATCAAGGCTACTACAAATACAATATATCACTTTTTATACATCATTTTTCTAACAGAATTTCGACATTATCTCCCTTATAAATAGGACTAACCAACCTGTGATCAATTTCACATAAATCCCAAACTATAGCACAATACAATAAAGATAAGCCGAAATCTCAACATTTATCAAGAAATAAAATGAAATCTACATATGGATACAAAATACATAGTGATCCCCATAACTATCTACAAGTGATGCAAAATCACATCTAGACATGAATATGCGTTCCAAAATACTGACTACATGATCTATGAAGTGAGTCATATTAACAAACTCTATCGTGTGGCTCTGAATCCAAAATCAAGGCTCAACTCCAAAAGATGCACAGATTCTTAACTACTGTCTGATAAGGAAAAATGTGAAAAAATATATGAGTTTATAGCTCAGTGAATGGAGAAGTTCAAAATAAATATAATTTTTCATTTATACATTTTTATTGAAAATCAAATTCATATCATTTGATAATTCATAAACTACCATCATGTAATTATAGCCAAAAAGTGAAATATTCACATAAGGTCATAAAATATCATTTTAAAATCATGATATAAATATCAGCTGATAACCATGTTATAATCTCATTACATCAAACGTACTTAAAAATTCACCAAAAATGTACCTCTGACTGAAATATATAATCCGTCCCTCGGATTAAGAACTTTCGTCACGGGCCTTTAGCCCCTCCGTGAATGAAAGTCGATCTCAAAAACCTCTAGTAATCAATTATAGAACACGGTCAAGGCCCCTCAGTGAACTATATGTACAAGGTCGAGACCCCTTCATCCCCGGTCCAAGACCCCTTAGTGTAGTATTGACCATGGCCAAGGCCCTTCAGTGAACTAAAAAATATATATATAATCACGAGTACTTTTTTGGTCGATCTCAAAATCATACATCATATTCTAATTCACAATGTACTGTATACAATATTTAAAATCTCACATGTATCACAATAAAAGGTATTTCCATAATAACCATATAATTTGAATACATAATTGCATATAATTGTACATACTTTAACAATATACTTAATTTATAAATACTTTTAAAATATTTATATTTTTCCACTCACAGAACTAGGTATGCCAAAAGCAACTCGATTGGTACGCTGTCCCGATATCCGTATCGCCGCCTGAAATATGATATCATTTTTAAATCAATAATTAACTGTTTTAAGAAATTTCATTAATTAAATAGGCTATTCCCAAACTTAATTATTTTACGTTTAGGCGATTTCTAAAGTCTCTTTAATTACTAAAACTAATTTTTTTTTTCATTTTACTCAATTTCATAGTTTATTATATTTAACCCCTTCAATAAACTTGAATTTAATCTAACAACTTAACAACTATAAAATCAAACACAACCTTTCAATAAGTAACTTTTACTTACCTTTCAAAATTGAGAAATTCAAGCCTAATAGTATAACGCACTTAATTCCTAATATATATATATATGTGTGTGTGTGTGTGTGTGTGTGTGTGTAATTATATTGGGAATGGGTTGGTTTGGCATAGCCGCCTGCCGTTTTCTTTTTCTTTTAATTTTTTTTAGTTTGACTTTTCTTTTGAATTAATTAAAGTATTACAAGATCAATCTTCTATTTAAGACTTCACTCATTGGTATCTCTAAGAACTTGAACTAGCAATCAAAGGTACATTACTCACTTAGGATTTGGGTGACCTGTTTCATAATCAAGTAGGGTCTCATTTCGAACAGTCACAAATGAGTCATTTATGCGGTCACATTCAACGTGCATCAAAACACATTATTGTTCCTATTTCAAGATCTAGACAAATCTTAATAAGAACAATACAATTTTATCAACATAAAGTTTCCAACTTTATGAATCGATTGTGAACGACATAATTTTGATCACATCACGAATTGTGTCTCACTATACCCAATCGATCGAGTATACAATTTGTGACATCCTATATGATCATGAAACCTTAGATAATCACTTCAAATTATAACATGCAAATAAACGAACGTCAATTCATAATGTGATTTTACGGAACACTACTCGAAGAATGGGCATCAAACTAACAGTGGTATGGTTTCTAGATAATATTTTGTTGTTAAAATCTTACTATTAGTTTTTCATTAAATATGATTTTTCTCTTTAGATATCATGGAAGCTAGTTTTGAATTTCGATAATGTTCTGTTATGAATGACCTAAATTGATTATTTTAGTCAGTGCCATAAATCTGCTTTACCTGCAATCTGTTCGGACAGAAGATAATAGAAGTAGCCTTTTGATATGCAATTTGATGCATGCTCTGGAACTGCAACCTGTCTTTTTTACCTATTAAAAAGTTTGGCTACTGGACTGATTGGTTTATGCTTATTTGTTGAATCAGGGAGTCCTGCAACACATTGGGCATCTGTAGCTTTTGGTGCTAGAGTGGCTATTGGGTCTACATACACAGAATGCTATTGCAATTATGATCAATCAACATCAAAATTAACTCCTATGCCCAGTACCCCTGTTCTGAAGGTAATTGATATTGGAAAATGCTATACAACCATAACACTTGACGCAAGGCCTGACCAAATGACGTGGAAAGTGGGAAAATTGAATTTTAAAAAAATACCACAATTCCAAATTTAAAACCACACACAACCCCAAATTCATTTATTACCCCTCACCCATTTCACCCTTCCACCAGCCAAAAATCAAAAACCCAGCCCGTCCACAGTATTCTCCCCCCAAATTGCAAGAAACCAATTCAGGAAAAAAACTTAAATCCCTTCAAACGGCAGTGTCGACCTTTCTCCGGCCATTCTTCAGCTCGTATCGTCCAACCTCCGGTCACACATTGGACTACGACCTCTGAGCAGAATAAGGTACTGTAAGTGCTGAATGATTTTTTAGAACTTGCGTCTCATGAAGAGAATGATTTTTTCCCTTTCTTTACGAAATCTGTTAAAAATTCCCTTCTTGTTTTGGGCATTTGTTGTTCTGAATGATTTTTTAGAACTTGCGTCTCATGAAGAGAATGATTTTTTCCCTTTCTTTACGAAATCTGTTAAAAATTTCCTTCTTGTTTTGGGCATTTGTTGTTAATAAAAGAAATGCACTTCTCACGAATTGAATGATTTCATTTTCCTTTCTGTACGAAATCTGTAATAATTTTCCTTCTTGTTCTGGGCATTTGTTGTTCAAAAAAGAAATGCACTTGATTGAAATAAAATTTTGGTAATTTCACTAACTACTCCAGAAAGGGAAAGTTGAAATGGGTTGTTGTGAGATGTAGGGTAGAAGAAGACGAGGCTGTGAAAATGTGGATGAAGTATATATTTTCTAATAGGGATAAAATTCAAATTGTAGCAAAAAAGAGGTTTTGTGAACGCTAAATTTTATGCATTGATAAAATTTCAGATTGTAGCCATTTTTTTGAATGCACCGTCCCCAGTTTGAGTTAAAGCTCAAATCAAGTTTCGAGTTTTCCTAGTTTAACCATACCTGTAAAGTTTTTTAGTTGATTAATAATATTGTCATTTGTTCTCTGGCAAATTCTAATGGCAGGAAAGTGTAAAGATTTCTTGCATCATAATGATACGCACTGGAAGAGCTTGTGCAGAAGGGGATAAGAAAGGAAAGGAGTCGGCTTGAGTTATATAGCTTTAGTATGAATTAAAGTCTTAGGAACTTATGTATGAATATGTTCAATAGGTCATAGATCAGGCTACTGTCGAATCTCGCGCAGGCGCTGTGGTATTGTTCCATGAAGAATAGCTTAATTGAAACTCTTTTAAAACATAAAAGATGTGTGCGAGAGCCAAGACCCATGATGGGAATTTTCTTTTAGCTTTTTAGTGAGTGTGTAGTGCATTCCCATTTATAGTATGTGCTCTCTGATCTATTCGGTTTTTAAGATTCGGGCTTGTTATTGTCTTTATTGTACTATGTAAGTGAGCGGGATGTAGACTACTATTCAGAGAAATGTCTTGCATGCAATTACGGTATGGATGACCATTCCAACTTTCTGATTACGTCAATAAATTAAAATGTGGAATCATGGTTTAACTAAACCCAATTGAGGCCCACCCCAAGTGGAATCATGCAGTTTTTGTAGGCATCCCCTCAATTGTGTGAGGAACACGCCTCATAATACTGCCTAAGCTATACACAGATTTTGCAAATCCCTGGAATGCATAAAATGTATAACATACATCTCATAAGCAAAGAAGAAACTGGATATAGTCTACAAACAAACAAGTTATAAATCATTTCAAAGCCAAGGTAGACACAACACGGTAGAAACTGCAACATTTATAAATTTTTACGAAGCCAACTTCTCTTGTCATTCTTTTCATCAACCCGTATGGCATTCTTGTTCATCCACTATCATAGGTTTTCTCCATCCTTCTCCAGTTCATGTTGAAAATAATACGACATTGGGTTACATACTGTACATTATGAAATAGATTTAGTACACAAACTACGAAGACTATGGATTACAAATACATATACTTGACCACTTTATTACCTTGAGGATTGAGTATAACATTTCTCGAAAACGGATCGATGAAAGTTGGGGGTTGTAAGTGTTGCATAAATTGAAGACTTTGGTTTCCACCCTATATGAAATAACAATATCAGGACAACGGTAATGTACCAAGGAAATTAAATAAGGAAAACTTGCTAACGGTTAGGAGTTGAGAATACAATAACGGTATCGGCATGGAATGTTGTGATTGTTGAGTTGCATGAATGATGGGTTCAGTGTCCCTCAGATTACTGGGCCGTGCCTTTGCCCTCTTTTCTTTCATTGATTTCGAACCACCCTGCATAGAAGATGTCTTATTATCCACTATATAAATTCAATAATGAATGTATTATGTAACAAAAATTTGAGACATACCTTCCCTTTATTTGAAATCGATTCCAATGCGCTCTTATTACGCAATTTCTTAGGCGCGCCCTTTCGATTCGCACATACAGGATCCCGTATGTTGCTGTTACCACTCCCCTGTGATGTTCCACACTCAGAAGCTATTAGAGTAATATGCGGGGATAGGACATTACTCGACATCAATCGCTTTTTACACTGATCTTCGATCCACTCCACTATAGCACCAGACTCGACTTCATCATCCGCAACCATGTTTGCCAATGAGGCAAATGATTGACACATTTTATCATACCTCAACTGTTCAGGAGTACTAACCAACTCATTGTAGTTCACTGCGACCCTTGTATAGGCCCTACTCACGTCTCTCCGCCATCTTCGTAATATATAACAATCCGGCAGTGATTGGATATTATTACGAATTAATACTGCGATTGCATGCTTGCAAAGTATTCCTCGAAACTCAAATAAGTGGCACTGCAAATGATTTCGCAATTTTCTCGATGAAATGAGACGGAAAATATTTTTTTCTTAGTACGCTCGTCATATATGATATCCTCGAGTACCTCATATGTCGTCCCAAAATATCCATCAGAAGAAGATATCAGGTCACAATAAACCTTACCGGTGAACTCGTCTTACACTTCCTTCAATTTTGTAATAGTGTAAACTCTCTGGAATTGCTTCTCCATCTTATACCTCGTTGCACATGGTACCATTTGCGAGAAAGACTTGAAATCTGCTTGAAACTCTTTCTCGACCTTACTTCTCAATGCTCGTTCATCTTGTTCAACAAATTGCTTCAATGAGGTTTTTGAATGTACATACCCATCAAAAAATGCATTCATACTCTCACTTCTTTGAGTTGTTGACATGCTCGCCCAAAAAGTAGTCTTCAGGTAGCAAGGAACCCAACGATCTCTATTCTCGTACAATCCAGACAACCATTCATTATCATGCAAATTATATGATTCAATCATCACTCTCCAACCCTGTTCAAATTCTTCAACAACTTGAGAATCATACACCAATCCGTGTATAGTAGAAAAAATCGAATCTTTGTCCTCGTGGTATCCAAACTTTTCTGGCAACTTTTTCAATATGTGCCACAGACACCATCTATGTTTCGTATTGAGAAATACTATCTGAATTGCATTTTGTATTACCCTGTCTTGATCAGTAATTATCCCATTTGGAGCTTGACCGTGCATGCACTCAACCATGTCCTAAAGAGCCAGACAAATGTATTTGTATCCTCGTTTGACACCAAACCACATCCAAGAAGTATTGATTGTCCACGATGATTCACCCTAACAAAAGGAGCAAAAGGCATGTCATATTTATTAGTAAGATATGTAGTGTCAAAGGTAACAATATCACCAAACTCCTTATATGCTTGCCTACTCCTATTATCTGCCCAAAAAATATTCTTCAACCGATATTCTTCGTCTAGATCTATATTAAAGTAAAATCCTGAGCCCTGTAATTGCATATTCGAGAAGTATGATTGTATTGCCGTTGCGTCTCCTTTTCCAAGTCTTAATCGCCTTGCCTTTTCAACATAGTTTCGACAATCCTTTTCCACACAAGTCATATTCTCATATCCTCCTGCTTCAACAACTGTAGAGTTGTAACTTTTGTGCAATGGAATTCCTGCCATATCATTTACTTCAAGTCGTCGTTTAACATGAGCACTCAATTCTCTATTGCATCTATATAGCCTAGATTTTGAAGGACTAATTTTATGGTTGTGGTCGAGATGTACTGTATTAATTCTCCAAATCCCACACATATCTGAACATGCAGTCAACCTGGCCTTGCATCCACTCTGAATGGTTGCTTGTGGCTTCAAAGAACCACTTGTATTACTAAATCTTTTCCCTTCTCGGCTACAAACAAATGTAACATATCTTAAAACTCCATTATCATCCTTTTCCAGAATTCCTTTTTGTAATTGGAAAACCGGCACCATATGCATATTTTTTGTAAAATTCGAATATCTCATTCTCATCTTTGAACTTCATGCCTACCTCAGGCACAATCGCACCATCTCCGTCTAAAATTACATCACCCTGTAATTTCATATTGTCCGTAACATTCTCATTATCGGACTCCACCAAAATAATGTCGTCCACAGCTTCAATCGTTTCTTTCCCTGCAACAATCCATGATAATGTTAAAACAACTCCCAATGAAATAATTTCATATTTACTATATAGTACTCAGTCATTGTTAGTTATAAAATTTCATGCACACTCAAACGAATTATGGTTAGATAATACTTGTTCACACCCACATTGCGAGATCCATCCAATTTAGCAGTGAATCATAAAGTCACGTCCTTCATAAAAAAACAGATTTCGACCGATTGAATAAAGGATTGTCATGTCACGATGGTTGCGATTTCGAAGACATTTTCCCCTAAAAAATTACCATCCATAAAAGAACCAATATATTTCGAATATTTAACCACGGGCCAGGTGTTGATGAATAAAACAAGCAACATTTCGAATATTCAACTGAGACATTTCTCCTCAAAAGAAATTACCATACACTTTAGAAATTTCACATTGTTAGAAAGATGAATAATAACTTTTCCTGACATTTCTACAACTGAACAACAATGGTCAGGTGTTGATGAACAAATGGGTCGTTAATTTGAGCTAGCAGCCAAAACAAAAATTTTGGGCTTTTTGGTTCGTACAAAATATATCCTTCCTCTGCTCAGAGGTCGTAGTCCAATGTGTGACCGGAGGTTGGACGATGGGAGTCGGAGAAAGGTTGACACAGCTGTTGAAGGGATTTAAGTTTTTTGCTAAATTAGTTTCTTGCAATTTGGGGGAGAATACTGTGGACGAATGGGCAGGTTTTTGATTTTTCGCGGGGATGGGGTGAAATGGCTGAAACCTGAAAGTAATAAATGAAGTCAAACTGTTGCGTGTGGTTTTAAATTTGGATTTGTGATATTTTTTTAAAAATTCAATTTTCCCACTTTCCACGTCATTTGGTCAGGCATTGTGTCAAGTGTTATGGTTGTATAGCATTTTCCATTGATATTTATAATCTCAGTTAGATTCATACATTCCCAGTAGGCTGCATTTAGTTGGAAACACGTTTTCCAGTAAAGTAAAAGAATTCGATTTTTTTTTTTGTTTTTTTCCCTAATATATGAATTCTGCATGTTGAGTTATATTTGTTTTTAAATATAAGCAGTATATTTTTTCATTTCCGGGGGCTAATTCAGCTCTCTTTTAAAGCACTATCTCTCTAAAACATCTGTTCAAGGATGTTATTTCATAGCGAACTTAAACTCTGCAGCACGTTTCTAATGTTTTTGTGAATCTGGATTGTGCAAGCAGCAGTCTTGTAGATATAGTATGTTGGACTAGTTAGAGCACTAAAGTTGAGTCTTTTATTAACTAAAACAATATAGCTTTTAGCATGTTTATCAGATAAAAAAGGAATGTGCACATTTTCAATTTCAGAAAGAACAAGATCTAGATATCTTAATTTGCCACTGTTTGAATGATGATTGTTCTGAAACTAGTCATTCACTCGTTCTTCACTGTTTCACTATCTAATTTGTATAACATTGTCTGTTGGTTGAATCTTGAGCTGTAATTTATCTTTGTATTTATGTTCATTATTTTTATTCAAAATTGCTTATTTATTTTCTTTTCTTCTAGTTTTAACGGAGAAGGTAAATCCCACCTTTGGACATTTACAGATATTTCGACTGAGGAACCTTTAGTCTGAAACACAGTGAGCAACACAACAGGATCAATGATTAGAAGGGTTTTCTAATGTGTGTTTTAAGGGCTTCGGTTTAATATGCATAAATATAACATGTCTATCAAGGTGCAGAAGTCCAATAATCTCATGCCGCCTTACTCTTTCTTGAAGTACCAAAACATGTTTTGTTACATTCTCCAACAATCTAAAAACGTATAAGTTATTTGAATTCATGAAGACTCATGAGCTAAAACAATTCTTATGACTCGAAGTCCTCCAAAAACCCTCTCATTTTTCTCTCAAACTTATTTTTAACCACACATTTCATAGGATCCATAACTTTTATCAATTTTTCTACTATACTATCATTTTTTATCAAAATTTACTAAAAATTTAATTTTTATATTAACCAATCAGGGGGTATATATGACTTAGGAAGGTGTAAAAGTGGACTTCTTAAACATTTATGAAAAAGATAGAGATATTTATATAGAAACTACAACTTTTGTTGATAAAATTTAGAGGGTAGTTGCGTAAATAGATTTCGGAGACAAGGAGTAAAAAGTTTGATATTTACTAAGTCATAATTTTACGTAATATTGATAAAACATTATATTTACTATTATTTTCTTTTCAGAAAAGTATTTTTGTAGTTACACTTGCACTATGCTTTGATGAAATTTGTGTAAGAATTTCTATTGAAAATATATTTTTTTATCTATTCGGGTGATTTTTTATCACTTTGATTTCCTTTTCAAGCTGCAAATTCTCTCTTTGTTTTCCAGTCGAAATACTGTTCGTGTTTCGACTTTGCTTTCTCAATTGTGACTATGATACTGGTGAAAATTTTGAATTCTAGAGTCTACTTGTAATTGACATTTTTTCTTTGAATTGATTTATTAAAATATCTTTTGTTGGTAGGACTGTCATTGCACTTGTGCCTACCTGGTAGTTAACACCTGCAGTCAGTTTAATGCAAGATTATTTAGCCTCCATTTGGGAAGAATTTATAAACGGTTTTATTTGTAAATAGATAGAAATGAGCGGGGATAAGAAAATGGTACTTGTGGGTTCATTGGAATATGTGACTAAAAATGAAGTTTGATTAATTTATAAATGATTTATAAATTTGCTAAACGGAGGCTTATTGTTTGTCATTTTCTTCTGCCACTAGCTTTTACATATCAAACATCATGAGATGTAATGATGAAGCAAAGGTTGGATTTTACACTCGTATCCCTTTCAATCTGTTGTTGAACAAGTCGTGGGGTGCAACAACCAGATTTTTAGTTCTTCAATTTTTGGTGAAGTATATATGATAATACGAATAATTATAAGTTTCTGCTTTTTTTGTGTTATATACTTTTTGAAAGTATAATCATGTTGAGTATTTCTTTCGATTTGTTCCAGGAAGGACAGGACCGAAGACAACTTTTGAAAGCAAATTTTCCATAGTTGGAGGCTACCATTTCCTTTTCTACTTAAATGGCTTGTTTTTAATGTCATAATCATCGACGGCAGTACTGCCCTTTTTTGTAACTCTGCAAGCAAGTGGAATGAGTATACAATATAACTGATTTTATTGCTGGGTAATGGTTGGGATGTATGCCCAGAATTTCATGAAGTTTATACTTGTCAAAATAATCTCGTTCAACTTGAGCTGAAATATAGTTTTGTTTTTTTGCACTCCTCATTTCAAAACTAAAATTGTTGTACTCGTAATTTTGATCGACAATAATTTTCGTATGATGGGAAAAAATTAGTCATCTTTAATTCTATCAAATTAAAACATCAGAGAATTTCAAGTTTAGAGAGAGAAGCTCTCAATTCTAGTGAGAGAAAATCCCACTTGAGTGCCTTGATTTCTTGAGGTTCTTCGTGTTTCAGTTCAATTTTTGCTTATTATTAATGAAAATTGAATTAAACATATTGCTTTGTGCATTTGGATCTGCTCTAATCTGAGTTTTGAAGTATATTTCAGTTCGTTTTGATTCCAGTTAGTACTGCGTGGTTTCTGGCCGTTTTTCAGTTCTTGAGCAGTTCTTGGTTGGGTTTCAGCTTGTGGTCAGATTCAGGTTTCAGTTTTTGGGTTATTGGGTTCTGCTCTAATCCTCAGTTTGGCCATTCCCAGCTCCTCGGGCAGGTTCTTGGTGTGTCAGTCATCATCTCATTTGCAGATTTCTTCGTCATCCTAGGTTGCTGTTTTGTCCTTTGGCAGTGCAGATTCACTTTATTTCTTGTCGGGTCTCTGCTTTGTGATTTGTTGTGGTTTCTTCCTGCTTCATCGTTAAAGTTTGTGCCTGCATTCATCTTCTTGGTTTGAAGGTTATACGTATATTGTATGCATTGGTGGTGACATCATCCATATTTCAAATTCGAATTGGCGTTGCTTTCCTGTGATTCACGTGTTGTTGTATACTTCTGGGGTGTTTCAGCCTTAGCAGACAGTCAAAGGTGTGTCCATTTTGGGCAACTACCCAAAATATATTTATTGCAGATTATTTTGTTGATATTTGATTGTGGGTCGGATCCTGTTGGGCTGGTTTACTTATTGGGAAGAAAAAGCACCAGGCCTCTCTTAGTGGGCTGTCCCCGCTTAAGATTAATCAGGCTTCTGGGCGTTCAACTATTCCTGCTGCTGGGCTGTCAAAATTAATTGCTGTTCAGCCCAAATATTCTGAAGGTAATATGGCTGCACAAAGAACGATCAGTGCATTCGGGGATGACTCAGGTCTGGAGAATTTGACTTCACCAAGTGTCTCACAAACGCTTGGAGCTGAGGACACAGATTCATGCAGCTCGATTGGTGAACCACAAGTGACCCGGAAGGTAGAAATTGAAGGTAAGAAATTGAACCAAAGTGCTATTACCGCTTCTTGGGTTATCTCTCTAAGGATAATAGAAATGTTGATGAAGGGATTAAATTACACAAGGTAGACAACCAACCTAATAAAATTACCTTGGATGATGTGGAAAAATCAAGGGGATTTTGCCTTGTTGGATACTTTGCCGGGAGATTCTCGGGCAAAAAGGCATTGCTACAAATGTGTGATACACAGAAGGTTCTTTATCAATATTTTGTTCATGAGAGTGAATGGATGATCTTCAAATTTCAAAGTGAGGCTTCTAGAGCGAAGGTGTTACATGAAGGCCCATACCTTGTATTTGGTAGGCCGTTATTGTTGAAGACTATGCTGTTGTGCTTTGAATTTGATGATGAAAATATTAGCACCATCCCGGTATGGATTAACTTATCGAATCTTCCTTTGGATTGTTGGAACCCCAGAGCATTGGCGAAAAATTGCTTCAAAATTTGGTAATCCAATATCCACGGATAAACTGCCGTCGAGCAAGGAGAGATTATCTTATGCTCGCATTTTAGTGGAGATTGATGCATCCAAAGACTTGGTTCAATCCGTGGAAATGACTCTACCCATGGGTAAAGATAGAATTCAACAAGTGGTCTTTGAGTATGAGCCAAAATTTTGTGGTAATTATAAGATGTTCGGATACAAGGCAGCTTCATGCAACTTCAAAAAACATGCTAGCAACCAAATTTAGGATGTCGAAGCTTCTACTAAGCAAATTCCGGCTTGGGAAAATGGGCAAATGGGCAAATTATTGGGAGAATTTCGATCCAAACTTCTGCTGTTGAACGTGATGGACAAATTGACAAGGATGGTGACTTTCCAGCTGAAATGGGTATGACACAGTAGGCTGTCCAAAATGATGTTCCTTTCGTTGAAGTCATCAACAAGAAAAAGGGTATGCAAC